GGTAAACACAGGCGTTACCAATGATACCACTCACGGTTTCGTTCCATTCAGGTCAAACAGATTCAGGATGCTGCTGTTGTGCCTGTTGACTCACTCGAAAAGGCTCTGCTACACTAAATGGAATTGAACCTCAGTTAGTATCATTGGTAACATCCGTGTTTACCCGACTATTTTCATGTCAAAATGGCTGCTGTGAAAGGGGTCTATTATGTTCGTATAAGGAGATCATGACAAGTTGTCCAAGATGAGAGCTCAACAAAGCAGAACCAGAGAACAACTAACATCCATCGTCTTTATTTCTGTTTCCTTCTTGAATTACCTCTAACCTTTCCCCAGTTTTCTGCAGTGTCATTGAAATGTCATGTATATAATGATGATGGCATCAGGTGTGTATAAATGTGTCAATATCAACTTCCAAGCCAAGTGCATTTTGTTCTTAGGATTCTAAATTGTTAAATCCATTTTCAGATATTGGTTTTTAACTCAAATGATTTTCTGTAATTTCTGTATATTTTTTAAATTTAAAAGTTTGTATTTTTATTTTTTCTTCATATGGATTTGTCCTGGAGGTATACTGTAGCTGTGCTTGTAATGTAATTCATTTCGCTGATATTTCAATATTAAAGATGAACAGTCTGTGTACTCACAGACTTTAAGATGTAAAGCTCATTACCATCAAAATTGTACCCACATTTCCTAATTTTACTTTCAACCTGGACATACATCTCTGCATTTACCCACATTTTTGCCACTAGCTTGTTTGTTTGCATTTGTTTTACAAATAAGAGTAGCTTGGAGATATTTTAACAAACTCAGTTTCATATGTTGAATTTTGTTCCTGCTCATTTTAGACTTGATGATAAAACAATTTGTCATCAGTTGATTTTGTCTAAGCAGTGTGCAGTTGGATGCAGATCAAGTTCAGGATCCTCCCTTGCAGCAGTCTGTGCAATGCATTAGCCTAGATTTGGAGCTATTCTGCTGAGTTGTCATTCAGTACTTCACCTACATAAGATATGTGGGAGAGTGCTTGGAACAGAGTAACAGTGCACAGGGAAGTTTTATTGTGGATTTGTGATGATTGCTTACGTCTTAAAGGTCCAGTGTGTAGCATTTAGGAGGATCTATTGGCAGAAATATACCTAATATAATAATATAATATTCATAGGTATGTTTTCATTAGTGTATAATCACCTGAAAATAATAATTATTGTGTTTTTGTAACCTTAAAATTAACTGTTTTATCTGCAGAAGGAGTGGGTCCCCCTCTCTAGAGGCCGTCACATTGAACCACCGTGTTTCTACAGTAGCCCAGAACAGACAAACAAAACAGTGGCTCTAAAAAGGCCCTTTTGCATTTTTTTTGCCACCATATAGTTTCCCCTACACACTTTGAAGGCTACACTATGTTGAGATAGTTGCAATCTGCAACTACACCACAAGATGCCACTAAATCCTACACACCGGTCCTTTAAGAGTGTGTCTAAAAATGTCTCTTGTACCAGTTGCAGCAAAGTTGTTGTTGTTGTATGCTTTTCCTTCAGTGACCACACGGTGTCATTCTTCATGCACACTGTGGCATTCTGCTCATGACATGTATAGACACCACAGCAGACTCACAACTAACGTGTTTCACCACATTCTGAATGTCAGAAATGTAACAGGTGTCTCTTGGTTGATGCATGTGGAATCCTTATCTCGCAAAGCATGCCTTTAAGTAAAACTATCCTCCCAAGTGCCATCCTCTGTGAGAGTATCTGAGACTTCTATAGAAAATAATGCGCTGTCTTTCTTTTAATTGCTGGGAACAATCAGCAGACCAGTGCTGATTGACCTCAGAAGTCTAGCTGATATTATAACATATCAGAAATGTATTTTGGTGCAAAACTGTTTAATGATTTATGAACAGTAGCAGTACCTTAAAATCAATTCTTTTGACAGAGTGGTGTGACGTGCAGAGCAGCTTCTGCTCTGAATGAGCTGCAGCTGTCAGAGAGCTCTGAGAGAAGCCCATTAAAGTCCTACAACCTACTCAGGGTAACAGCATGGATTAGTTTATTAAATCTTGTTCAAACATTCATTCTCTAATTCTGATATTGCGTGGTAGTAGGCCTACTTTTGTCTCGATTGAAAATATAGGTCTGAATCCGTGGCTACACCTGGATGCCTTTCAGTCTTTCTACTTTGGGGCGTAAAATTTATTATTTCAGTTTTACCCTCATTTATTGAAGGAAATTGCGACTCACCCCATCACTGACTTGTTTAATACCCTTATTTGGTGACTACTCTTACAGAGACAACAACCATTGTTCAGCAACAAACAGGAATAAAACTAAGGCTCTCAGATCTGCATTTGATGCATGTTTGATACTACTTAGAGCTTAAAAGCACACCTTGGAACTTGTGAAATGTTTCTTTTACTCATTCACCTCTCTCCCCTTGAGTGTGTTACTCCCATAGAAGGCCCTGATGGAAATGTACTCAGTGTCTTCCGATAACAGTAAATCAAAGAGGAAGTGGAAAAAATGATGTGGGCCCAAAGTAAAGGGGAACTAAAATGACTTCTGCCTATGCAAAACAAGCTGACATTTCAATGTGGTGTAGTGTTTTATCATATGAAGTGCATTCACTCATGCAAGGCCACATGAACAGTCAAATTCGCACAGAATTAGTGGGGTAAATACAGTATGTATCCTCTACTGAGCAGAGTTTAATGCTAAATTGCTCTCCACTCACAGTCTCTGTCTGTCGCACATGATGGTGTCAGGTCTCGTACAGTCAAAGCTTCATGCTAGCATCTGTTGCATCATAAATTTGACTGCCCAGTGCCGGTAAAGATAGAGCTCTGGCACGTTTGACATAAAAAATTATGAAGTGTTTATTTCTTATCAGGCAAAAATGTTTTCACCTTGTTCAGATCCATCTATACCACCTCTTTAACAGGATACAATGCTGCTATATTACAGAATATGCTGCTTATTGATACATAAAGAGGTCATTTATTTCAAATTCAAGTGTTAAATTCCTTTCACTTCTACAAAGCACTTTGCATTTAGTGCATGCTACAGAACACAATGTGCACTGAGCTGTAACAGTTTCAGTATTAACCCACGAAAACACAGACAGTATTTGTTTGTGCAATCAGTCCCAAGGGAGCTCACAAGTGGTAAAAAGGGAAAGCTGGTGGCGCTTTCACTGATCATGAGGCCACCTGCAGCGCTGTAAACATGTGCTGTTATTTGACTTATTTCATGACAGGCATTGAGAGCATTTGTTTCAACCGCAGCATGCACGAAGACCCACTGACACCATCTTCCCCTTTACTGTGCATGCAAACAGGATGTGGTCGTTATCTTACAGCGGTGCATCTCTGCAGCTTTCACAAGTTAATTATATCCCAGATGCATTTCATAGCATTCACATACCATTTTGTGTTGGGTTATTTTACTTCTGGAACCTGTTTTGAATGAGGTTTTAACTGGAAAGCATTAGTGGAAACAACATTATCATACTGAGTGGTTTTTTTTGTGCTTTTACATGTTGGTAGATCAGAGCAGGAAGAAAGATTCAGTTATCATTCAGTTATTCTGTGCTCTACATGATGCCTGTGGCACTGACAGTCATACTAAGCAGCAACACATCATAAAAAAACTGGATTTCACGTCCGTGTTTAAAAAATTCATGTCAGCAGCATGAGCAGGGCTGCAATGATGAGGATTTTGTGGCATGATCAGAGGAAGTGGAGCCCCTTCATGCTGGTCTTCTCAACTATGATACCAGCACACATCGACGTGACCCTGTTTTCAGATGACTTTCCTACTTAATGGCATGTTACTGTAACAGGACACAACACCTTTGGGAGAAAGAGACCTAGATTTTCCATTTCTCCTGGGTTTTGTGCAAAGAATATTGTGACAAATTACTTTTATATTTTTAATGTGATGGTATAAAGACAGGAGAAACATGCTTTGAGTGTGGTCATCATATGCATCAGAACATAAGCAAATGAGCCTGGTCCAATGCAAATTCACACGCATGGTTTTCTTTGATAAAACTTGTAGAGCCGCTTCAGTGTGTTCTGTATCCTGTCGTCAGTTGATGAGTAATTTAAATCTAATGTGGAGAACCTTTTTATATCCTAGATCACTCTGTAGAATTACATACAGGTACAAGTCTTTTGTGTATACGTACATTGTGCTCTGGAATCGAGTAGCAGAGTCACAGGCAGTTAAATTAATTTCAGCCACTGCAGGTATTTCAGGTTGACTGCAGTCTGAAATGTTGAACAATGGGGGCCGTACTGTAATCTGTCCATACTTAACAAGTATTCATGCTGACTACGATGTTTGCCCATCTTCTAGCAGGCTATCTTTATCCCTATCTACTCCGGAATAATAATGACACAAGGTTGTCAGGGAAAGCTCTCTACCTGTCACCCACTGGTTTATTATCAGCCAGCTCAGGGGGGGACAGTGACATGTGCATCCCCTCAGGAGCTGAATATATAATATTTACCTATAATATGTACAGGTGCTCAGTGATGAGCAGAATGTTTAATATTAGAAACTGTTATAATGGACGTAGTTTTTAGGATACCGGGCTTGATAAAATCATTTGCAGGAGTGTGCCTTGCCTTGGCCTTTATTTGGAGCACTTGACAGATTCAAATAAATGCCAACATACACAGAAGTGTGCCACAAAACCAGGACTTGTGGATGAGATCTTGTGGCAACTGTGTCGATGTTTCCTCTAATTTTCCCCAATCTGACAGTGGGAATAAATCACCCATGTCCAATATCCTGAAGTTTTCCTAATATGGGTGTCAATTAGTGCAAGAGTGCTACTGTGGCCACAGCTTTACAGCCTGCAAACTGGGCTGCCGCAGGCAGCACAATGCATTAGCGCACGATGAGCTGTCAGAGAGGATTATTTCAGCCACGCCAGTCAGCAAAGGGGGTGGGCGCCGCTCTGCTGCACTAAACCGAGGAGAAGGAGTGGGCGGGAGACAGAGAAAGGGAGAGAAACACATAGAGGAAAGAGGGAAAGAGAAGAAAGTGTCCATTACACCGGGTGGATTTTTCCAGAGCACCGATGTTGGAACACTCTTCTGAGCTGGCCCTGGTGCAGAGTTTGTATGCCAACAGCATGCGCTGTCCCCCCTCTGCGGCCGGGATCTCTGTCAGGAATGAGGACCTGCCTATGAGGTACGTTGGGGTTGGCCCCTCATTCAAATCTGGGCTGGCTTTTGTGGAGCAGCCGTATTTGGATTGCTTCTTTGTCTGGGCTGAATATTGTCATAGGATGTATTGTTTCCAGTTGAGGCATTCTCCCATGCTGTGACTGTGTGACTGTGGGAAGGGTGGCGTTCCTCTGGTGTCCCTATGTTTCTTCTAGGATCCCAGAAACCATGTATTTTTTAATATTATGAATCTGGCCATTTATATAAGTCCCATCTCCCCAAGACAAAAATGATTGAATCAGGAGGTACTGGTTTCGTTTTTAAATTGGAATTGCAAAAATCAATACCCTATAGCACTGTCATGTTATTTAATTTACCTTCCTCCTCTTTTCAAAGTTCCACAAGGGCTCAGATACTTGAATGAACTATAAAGAAAGAGAGATAAATGTGTCAGTGATGCAGATGTTTGTCCCTGAATTTCACAGGCCACAAAAAAAGACAAACCTGTGATTAGATATCTATTGAAACAGCCAAGGCCTCGGATTTTGTTGTTGTTTTTTGACTGAGAGAGTACACTCAGTCAATAATCTTTAAAAGAACAAGAAAGAACATTTACATCCATCTTGGAATTTGCATTATTTAGTGGAACTGGGCCCGGATGAGGTAGTGTTATCATGAGTGCTTAGCTCACATCTCGAGTAGATTTCCTCCAGAAAACATGATAAGATGAAGTTCTCTCTCTCTCGCTCTCTCCATTTTGAGAGGCCCTTTAGTTGGTCGCCATTCTGCAAATGCTTTCATGAAAGGCAAAGTACGCCTCCAAATTCAAGGCGAGATGTTCAGAAAGGCATCATGTGATCCATCTGGGTTGAAGCTGGCCTATTTTTATACTGTGTCACAAAAAGGGTGCAAATGTATATGCTGTATGATGATGATGATGATGATGATGACGATGATGATGATTGGTGAGCGAGACTTCAGTTTCCCTGCATGAGGGGAAAACATTTGATGTAAACAACAAAAGCGTGGTACGTGTGGAGGATTATGATGGGATTACAGTAGTAATAATCTGAGATTAAGAATAGGAAACTAGTACTAGAAGGTGCCAGCAACTCTGCATCGGCCTCTGGAATCCACTCCGAAACACATCTCTCAGAAGGAGACGAACGCCAAATGGTAGAAATAAGTGGGTGCGATGGCGTTATGTACTGTACAGAAATTGTCCTGTATTGTATGTACCCGCGATGGAAACTAGAGCTGCTCTTCACAAGAATCCTGCTCCTTTTATAACAAATCCATTCAGTAAGATCCCAGGAGATCTGATTGAGTCAAAGGAAATACGTGGATGCTGCAGATGGGATGACATTATTGTATTTTTCCTCCATCTTAATAAAACCTGATTCTCCAGAGAGGTTTAGACTAGCTTTTTATAGCAACCCCTCAAGCTAAATAGCAATGCATGTTGCATAGTGATCTTGCCTGCATGTGTATGGCAAAATAGGTTGCACATCACATTATGTATACAAACCTCTTTTAGGCACTGTTCAATAAAGCATACTCTGCACTGGTGCCAAGTTGCCTTGAAACTGCTATGGATACAAGGATTAAGTCGGATTTCGTGAATGGGATGTTTCTTAACACTCGCTATGAATAATATTTTTGGATTGTGCAGCTGCTGGAGCAATAATGAGTGGTTTGATAATTAGGCTGGCCCCCGTGCCTCTCTGCTATGGCAAACAGTACTTGACAACGCCCCCCCACCCCACCCCACCCCCCTGCACCCGCTCCCCCCCAAGTGTAGAGGCCTCGCCCTGCGAGTCCAGCACAACAAAAGAAGATAGGCTCCCCCTCCCCCTAGGGAAACAACAGCCCAAAACAAAGGGGAACATGACCTATGACCCTGTGGAAAAAGCAAAACTGCAAGAAAAACTGCATTTTAATCACCTCACTTTTGATTGGAAGAGATGTATGGACCTGCGGTGCAAAGGAAGGCAATAAACAAGCTGGAAAATAGTCTTGATTATTTGCGTAATCCAATAAAAACAAGCCAGGTTCCTAATTTAGACTCCTGAGAAATTATGGGAAGTGGAACAGCATTATTAATCATGATGGTAATGACCTGGGTACTATATATACACACATTTTAAATGGCTCTCTAATCAGGATCATTAGATCAGTGACTAATCCACAGACTAAACCTTCCTTCACAATAAACTTGTGCATTTTTTATGTTCAATTTAAATTTAAAAAAAGATGCAGGACACACAAGGGCTCACATCAGACCAATATAGTGGTGATGCAATAGCAGATAAGATAGAATAAACTACAAATAGGTCAGTAAACTCTCCATAGAATACCACGTGCCAGCCCCTAAAGGGACATTACAGTAATTTTACATGGGGGGTAGAGGCGCTGTGAGGCTTGCTGAGCAGCAGGCAGCATGCTTTCAGACTTTTGTTGAAGAGGCCACGCCTCTGGTTTGCTGCAGCTCGGTGTGCAGTGTGACAGCGGCTTGCCTGAATTTATTTCAGTCGGGGGGACGAGAGAGAAATTAAGAGGAAGGAGGAATAAGGCGGATATCGGTGCCCTCTCTCTCGCTCTCTCTCTCTCTCTCATGCAGTTTTGAAGAAGACGCCCCCCCCCTCTCCCTTGCACCTGTTCTGCTTCGTCTTGTCGCCGTCTCGCCGGAGTTGAGCGGACGTCGCTTCTCATTGTTAGATAGACGTTGTTTTGAGCATGACTTCGACGTACAACCTGGATTTCCACCCTCTGGCCGAAAGTCGGTTAATGACTTCGAGCGACACAATGTAAGTAATAGTAACTATCGATTTTACGTTCACATGTCTCTCTCTCTCCGTCGGCGACTCAAACATTTTTACCGACTGGCATTTTGTAAAGATGAAGCAAAAAACACCACAGTTCAGTTTTTTGGGGAGTTAAGCTAACGTTAGCTTAACCGGGATGCTAACGTGAAGCTAATCACGCGAACAGCCGCGGCACGCTCACCTGGAGTTGAAGTAGTTTGTCTAACTTGGATAATAAGGGGATGTAACCACAGTAGAAGTGGAGTAAAGTAGATGTACCACCACTCTTTTAATACGCATGAGCCGTACACCATTTGAGGGGGGCTAACACACGTTACTCGAAGTGACTGGAAGAAAAACGCAGTTTTGCTAGCGACGGGTATCGGATACGAGGCGCGCCACAATAGTCAAGTGACATGTGCTTCCGGAGATCACACGTTTCGGTGATCAGTCCAGGGGAGAAAAAAACAAAAAAAAACATCGATTAGTTAGCTCTAAGAAAACAGCAAACCCTAGGTGTGTTTGAGTTACTTGTACAAATACAGCACCGCCTTTTGTTTAGTTGGATGCAAATGAGCGAGCAGACGTGAGCTCGGTCGTAAAGGTAAGGGCTGTTTTTAAAACCATTATCGGCGGGTTAAAGGGACGTTACGTTTTGAGTTATCAACTATATTAAGTTGACGTGAAGTTTGTGCAGATGTATGTTGCTAACGACTCGATGTCGGGGCGGTTTATTTCCAGCTTTATTGGCGAAAATCTGAGCAGCACCAAGTAAAAACCTCGTTTGTCGGCTTCCCTGGCGAACTCCCTGTCCCTCCCTGTCTCTCTCTGTGTGCTAGCACTGGAGCTAGCTCAACGTCGTTAGCTGCAGCTCCACAGGCACTGGTAGCCCCCTCGTCCATGTTGAATTTAGACTGCTTACTTAATGGCAGAAAACACGTGGTTTGCTACATTATTGAGCCATTAATGGACACCTTGTGACAGGGCATGTAAACAAGGGAGCAAAAGACTTTCGCCGAGTACAGAGGTCCATATTATAACGCTGTCCTCTCGATATAACAGCTAATCCTGTTTGATAGAGACATTTTCAAAAAAGAAACAACCACATCCTCCCTTTCACAAGACTTTAAAAAGTTAAAGGTGTGCACTTTTGTGGCAAGAAATGGGCCTGGTCGTTATATTTTCATGCTCTTGCACTTCGATCAAGCTGTTGTCTTGTCAGGGTTTTTCTTCAAACCACCTTTTTAATAGTTTTTACATTAAATGATGTCAGTGTGGTTGATAGGGGATGGCTGCAGGGTCAGTTAGTGGCCTGTATTTTTACTTATTTATTGACTGTGAAACAGTTGATTAACCTAAAAAAGATAATCGATCATTGCAATTTTTCAATTAAAGATGCCAAATATTCTCTAGTTCCACTATCAATTGGGAGAAGGTGCTTCTTTTCTGTCTATTATGACAGTAAATGGTATATCTTAAGGTTAATGAATGGTAGTTGAGCCAAACAAGTAAGGTTAATGAATGGTAGTTGAGCCAAACAAGTGTAATTTGAAGACTTTAGCACTTTAGGAAATTGTCATGGACGCTTTCCGCTACCACATTTTGTAGAGAAGCAGTCGATTAATTGTTCATGAAAATAATTTGCTGCAGTGCTACCTTTTGATTATAATCCCAAATTAAATGAACCATTGAATGGTTTAATTTAAAAAAAATAATATTCCACACTTCTAAAGGCTATTTTTTAATCCAATCTGCCGGACTTGGAGACAGTGAGCGACTAGATCTTACCCCAGCTGTATTTGATTGATTTATCCCTTCTGATTGTTGACTGTGAGAGTGACTATCAGGGCTTAATCGTGATCCTTTGGCAGCCAACACAGCCGTACTGCTATGTCAGTAAGCTAAGCGTCACAGTGATCCCTTTTGTTGTGGCCAGGGAGCTGTTGATCTGTGCGAAGTGTAGGATCTTGGCACGGGGTCCGGGGCTGCTTGGGCCAGCTGTTATGTTCTCTCCCCTCACTGTAAGGGTGGCGCTGGTGGTGGGAGAGTGCCATGCAGCCCAGATGTTTTAAGCCAAGAGCAGGAGGGCTCTGATCTTGTCTGTCACCTGTTTCTCCACTCCTCCTGCTGATAGCATTGCGTGGCAATAATTACATGACTGACTGTCCTGGAACTACATGCACAGCCTTGGAACGCTCATAGTCACGGCCCCTATGTAAAG